GTAATGAAAAAATGAAGATATCTTTCTACTAGTTCAGCAAATCAGACTTTCACACACCTAAAGAGCTCAGCCAGCAATGTGTGCAACAAGGATGGGTTTCTGTTGATTGTGCATCTCTCTGACACACTGCAGCTTGAACCCAGGGCTTGCTGTGATGAATATCACACCATAAAGACTGACTGTATGGATAGAGCAGACAGCCTTGCTATCAGAGCTCTAAATCTCCCCGCCACGGAGGGATCGTTTTTAACCAGAGGACACTTGAAGGAGGTCAAGTCCTCGCTCCTTGAAAAATGAAGTAATGTTTTGAATAATAACCTCATCAGGAGCACAGAGTTCTAATGGGAGTAAGCAAAGACCAGTACATCTCCACAGAAACATGTTTCAGCTGTGGATGTCTGGGGGCGGTGGGCTCATCTACTGCAATAAGCAAACTCTGCTTTCTCAGCCTGGCTAGCAGCATGCACAAGCTGTCAAGCTCCCAGAGCCAGCGTTAATGTCATCGACGTTCATTAAAGAGCACCTGATGTCATTTATAACCTGTGCACCGTAACGATGATGGCCCAACGAAGGCAAAAAGCACTATTTTTGGTGATCAAGAATAAAACAGCCCTGGATTCTAGCTAAATATCCTCAAGAATGTGGAAGGCAGAAATAGCAGTTCAAGATAAGTTCATGGCAAAAAGCATTCTTTGAGCAACACAGTTGAACACTTAACACGCACTCAATCTACCACAAAGAATCAATTCTGCTTTGACAGCTATTAGATTTCTCAACAAACCATCTCCCTCCATCTGATTCCAGTTTGCCAAGATCCCCCTCCTCCCCCTCTCCCAGAGCTGCCATTTTATCAACCCTGCTGAAGCACCAAACGTGATTAAAGATTCCCCTGTCCTGCTGGATGAAGTTAGTATCAGTGTGAAGTTGTTCTTCACTTGCCTGTGTCACAGTATTTCAGATGGCTGTGTTGCAAGTGGTTTATCTGCAGCTGGACACAAAGCAATAACCACCTCCTCTCCTTTTCAGCTTGCACATTCTTAGAAACAGCAGCATGAAGCATTCTTAGGTTGAGCTCATTCAATCTGTGCTTTCTCAGCACCCCAAGCACTGCCCACACGCCCGCTCAGCAAGGCTTTGCTCCTCTTGTTTGCAAATCCAGGTAGGTAACATGGAAGCACTGTTGTCACAGAATCAGTTTTGATGTCAGCTTTCCCTTCCTCAGGTCCAACAGGCAGAACTTCTCGCATCACAACTTGCTGGTCATAACTGAGACTGCTTGACTCAGTCCTGTGTGAGCCACACACAGCAAAATGGAAGCTTGCTTTATCAGTGCAAACAAGCTTGTCTTAAATGTAACCCCAGCCCACGGAATGAACTGCTCAAACACATGCACATTAAAAGTACACCAGGCCTGACTACTCTAACTTCTCCATTTCTCTCGAGTTTGGCCTCTTAAACCAATTAAAAGCATCCCAAAACAAGCTAAAAACCCTGCAGGTTTGAATGGGATTCAATCAACAAAGCCATGCAAATACTTTGACGTTCACACAACTCTACGGTTCTCTGGACAAGCATCCATCAGCTTTGGCTGTAAATAAGATGCCTTGAGATGAACTCACTTGCTGTTTTACATCCTGGAGGAACACAGAAGCGTGAAGATCTGACAGCCATCCACATTTCATGCTGAATTACAAGGTGGCCTCATCCCACTGACCTGGTTCTAACGATTTGTGCCTCTGCTGCTTTACCAAGTGGACTAAGCAACAAATGAAATCAGGCTCTAAGCTCTTGGCACCTACAGAAATACAACTCATTTTAAGTCTATTTATCGGATGTTAGAAGGAAATTCTTGACTCAGTGGATGTCCCATGTCTGGAGGCACTTGAGGCCAGGTCAGATGAGGGCCCTGGGCAGCTGTTCTGTGATACCACTTTCACTCTTATGTTGGAGCAATCTCATCAAAAGTGAAAAACACAAATAGTTTGCCCAGGTTTGTCTCAATGCTAGGAAATACTTCAGCTGCTCAGTAATTATATACAAATCTTGATTACACTCACGAGACACAATGGGCTGACACCATGTGGTCTTGTTTGAGCTAAGCCTACATAAATGGCAGCACAAAATAGAATCATAGAATGGTTTGAGTTGGAAAGGACCTTAAAGTCCATCCAGTTCCAACCCCTGCTGTGGGCTGGGTGCCCCCCACCAGCTCAGCTGCCCGGGGTCCCATCCATGGCATTGGGTATCTCCAGGGATGTGGCAGCCACAGCTGCTCTGGTATTCTATACTTAAAACTTGAGTCACGTGAAGCTTCAGCTACAAAACACAGAGAGTAATTAGAGCCTTGAGGCAGCACAGAAGCCAAAAGACTCTCAAACAGATGCATAAGTACACACAACTGTAATCAAACAAACAACAGGACCAATATCCTTTGAAAAGATTCAAACAGAGATTCAGATAGAGCAAAAAGCAGTATTCACCTTGCAAGATGTTTAGCTTATATCAGCATTTCAAGACAAGACCTGAGACTATCTAAAAATAATACAGCAAAGGCAGCACCACCAACGCAGGCAGTTACTCAAAGCATGTCTTATTCCAGACAGCATTTCTTATTTTGCTACAAATCAGAAGCTACGCCTTATTTAAAACTCTGGGAGCAGGCTAACAGAACATTAAATGCAGGACTTGACAGACAGCATCAGAACAGTCATCACCAGTTCACTTTCAGCATTCTTACCATGTTTATGAAAACAAGATGAAGTGTTTCTACTCCACAGTGCCAAGGAATTTAGGTAGCTTATTTAGCAAGGGTGTTTGTTCGCCACTGGAAGGAACTCACTGCTGTGCTAAGCAGCTTCAATTTGGGAGTTCTGTATTCAGAGCCTTTGGAAGGGGTGCTGCTTCCTCTTATATGTATGATGCACTCTGAAGATGCTGAAAGGGACCAGGAAGCCATAAATACAGCCTTTTAGTAGTGCCCAAATGCATTAATAGGATACAGAGGGAACAGGTATTGAGTAGATAATAAATACCAGCACCTCTACAATTGCAAAATATCTACAATACCTGCCAGTGGCATTCAGTAATGGGGCTGGATGCAGGAGAGATGCTAACCACAGCCCCCTGCTGTGTGCATGCTTCAGTGCCAGCAACTAGAACCATAGAAGACCCCAAGTTGGAAGGGACCCATAAGGATCACTGAGCCACTGCTCAAGAGCAGGTTACTGAAACAAAGAAATTTAATCATGTTAATTGCTGTGCTCCATTCAGTTAGGAGCAGGTGAGAAACACGAGCTATCAGACTAGAAGGAAAAGTGCAAGTTAAGACAGTTGAGGTTTCCTATAGCAACTCAAGTCACCTGAGAGTTTGGAGGGACCGGCTCCCCAATAGCAGGGCAGAGAAGATCTCAGGCAGGAGTTAATCCTGAAACAATCTTACAGAACGCAGGTAAACAGCCCAATAGGGATTAATACACTTAGCTGAACCTTCTCCTTTTCAGAAACCTATTGTGAAATACAGCACTGAGTCCTGGGGGTTTGGAAGGCTGGAGCCTCAAGGACTAAAACCTTCCACTTTGTCTCAGACAACAGGAAATTGGTTTAATCTTCAGACACCCACACACAGGCAGCTCTATTCCTCAAATTTGTTTTCCAGACAGAAACATTTCAGCTTGCTGCTCTTCTAAATGAGATGTATGGAGGGGATTTACATATGCTTAGACGACAATTCTTAATAGAACGTTAATGTGTTTGTGTAAGTTATCCAGGAAATGTTTGGGCAAGTTATTAAACTGGTATCAAAAATCATTTGCAGGACAACTACTGCAATCCATATTTTATCTTGTCAGAACAGTAAGACCTCAGTGACAGCTTAATTCTGAAGGCAAATTACCTCTGCTGGCCTGCCAGAAGTTACTGAGCTTCAAAAAGAAATCGGATGCTTCAAGAATCCCAACCCTCCCAACTATGCACAACATGGAAAGACCCTTCCATCTTGATTGAACTATTAGGAAATGCTGCTAAAACACTACAATGCTTCCATTGTGTGCATCCAAAGAGCAGGTTTTGTGTTCTGAATCAGGAAATACAGACAGCTATTTTCCCCCAGCCGTTTCCTTTGCTCCTTTTTCAAACGTTACAAGTGGGGAAAAAGAAAACCCACCACATAAGGAAGTTACTGGTGCTGCAAACCTGACTTTGCAACTGTTTGCAGGCACAGAGGATCAGAGTGGAGCAGCTGGCCTCCCACAGCTGGTCAGCACCGCATTCCTTTGAGCTGCAGGCTACAAAGCAGAGCTTAGGCAGTAATTGTCACCGCTTTCCTAAGGAAGCACACAGGTGCAGAGACAGTGAGAAAACAGGCAGAGAGCCAAAAGGCAAGAGAAAACACTCAGGGTGGATTTAAGGACAGCAAGATAGTTTTCTAGCAGCACAACAATAGCCGAGGTGCGCACTGAAGGTCAGTGAACACAGACCAGATGAAAACCTCTTCACTGAGCACTGATTCATTAGTAGGTAACAATCCATAATGCTCTTTTCCTACCTGTTCAAAATCCTCTGTGTTAAAGAAAGCTGTTTATTTCATTGCAAGCACTGCAATACAGCAGCACTGGCAGCCTCACTAAAGGTTATGTTATAACTTCTGTTACGTGCATTTCATTCCCATAGTCAGAAAGAACACAAGAAGGTGAGCTTTTCCATCAGAACCCACAGCTTACCTACCAGGCACACTATTCAGGTTTTGCTGTCATCAGATGCCTCATCAACAGCACATGCCTGCCAAACAACCCCAGATAACAAAGCTGGACTAACTACTAACTACAGATCACAGCATTTGGACACCTGAAACTCAAAAGCACTGTCACAAAGCTACTGAAGACTGTAACAAATAACTTCAAGATCAGTAACCCAGCTGAGCACACAGGACTGCTCGAGTTCAGGTGTGCTTTATTGCTGACCTGTTGCTTTGAAGCAAGCAGCACATCTGGTGGCATACTTACTCTCTCTCTTTCTCTGTCAGTTTGTCGTTGATGTTATCTTTGATTGTAGACCTGGAGCCCTTGTGAATTATGGGATACCTGAGTGGCACTTGTAAGAAGTAGGAGATCATTGAAACCAAATGAGCGGTGTAGCCCAGGGCAACAGCGATGCTTCCATCATCTTTTGCTGTGAATCATAAGAAGAACATTAAATAATCCATTGAATCTCCATGCAGACTCAGCACAAGTTCATCCTCACTGCTCAGCAAACAATATAATTGAGGAAGCCATCAGAAGCTATAGCTTAAGAACAGATGCAAGTGAAGCCAACGGACTGCTTTACAATTCTTTGCAGTTCACCATTTGTTCCTTTTATTAAATGCCTCTTCTACTAAATGGCTGATGGGGTGTCCTCTCTTCAATTTTACCCTTTCAAAGCTAAAAAGTTCTTTTCCTTTCTGTTTTGCTTTGTTGTTTTTTGGGTTTTTTTCATGATTTCTCCCCTTTCTTTGCAAGAGAACACCAATATAAACACCATAACAACCAGCCTTGGGCAATCAGCTAATCTAAGTCCCTCTAATAAAGCTTTTAATGATGCTCAGCACCTCCAGCATCACACTGACCCCTAGAACAAGAGAGGCTATAGGGCTATTAGACAGTTAGCTGCTTTTCAAATGTAAATCCCTATTTCATTAACTTCAGTGTTTAGTAATTCTTCCCAGTAATACAATATTTCTACAGACTATGATATAAGGAGTTAATCATTCTTTCAACGAGGAGTTAATGTCAGAGCACTGAGACAGGCCAAAAGATGCACAGCACTGCCTTCCCATGAATTGCAGGCTGGTGGCCCTGCCTGCAGCAGGAGGGTAGGAGCTTCATGATCCTTGAGGTCCCCTCTAATCCAAGCCATTCTGTGATTCCTTTAAAGATTATGCTTCCATTAATTGGGCATTTAATAACGCACCAATCAGTAGCACAAATTAATTCCTACCGTCTCATGATTGAAGTTTTTGCCCCAGAAATCATATATGCCTGGCAGAGTGAACAAGCACTGGGAACAAGAAATTCAAGGGAATTTTCATAGGATCATCACAGAATGGCTTGAGTTGGAAAGGACCTCAAGGATCACGAAGCTCCAACCTCCCACCACCACCAATGCAGGGCCACCAACCTCCCCATTTCATAGCAGCCCAGGCTGCCCAGGGCCCCATCCAACCTGGCCTTGAACACCTCCAGGGATGGACGGGGCATCACAGCCTCTCTGGGCAGCTGTTCCAGCACCTCACCACCCTCATAGCACAGAACTTCCCCCTGATATCCAACCTCAACCTTCCCTCCCTTCAACTCCACACCATTTCCCCTTGTCCTGCTGTTATCTCCCCTTTCCAAGAGTTTAAGGCAGTTCCAAACCACATCCAACACCTGCAGATGAATGCACACAGCCACCTGTATGACCGTGACACAGGCAGGTGTGTGTTTGCTTCTGCAAAAAGATGATGTCAGAAGCTACAGCAGAAGCTTGCTTGTAAAATACTGCCATACCATGGCAGGTAGTCAGGCAGCTTTGAAGTCATATTTATGTGCATCACCATTTAAACTCAAGATACAGAGGCACTGTTCTGAGGGTCAAACTACCATTACATTAGCAAGGAATTAGGACCAAATACTGAGCAAGTTTTCTTCCGCTCCACACCTTTCCAATCAGAAATGCAAATTCTTCACTATTGCCATCAGTTTACTTAATTTTATTGAGTGCAGAAGCAGCTGTGAGAAGTGAATGAAATATCCAGCTACCTTGAAAGTCTTCAGAGTTCGGAAGCTTGACTCCACAAACAAAGTAATCCTTTTGGTCATTCTGCAAGTTTAAAAACAAAGTGAGAATGGGACAACGACAGCCAGAAAACAGAAGCCTACACAAAACCCAGAGACAACAAAGCACATCTTGTAAAGACAAACTGAACACCCAATGACACCCGGACAGACTGAGGTAACGTTTCAGTCCACATCTCAAGTAGTTCAGAAATAAATGGGTTTTCTGTTTGAAGAGGAAGAGCTCTATCTTAATGCAGTGCACAGAAAGGCTGAGGAGCTCTATATTTTGACATCTGGTTTTGTGAGCCCCGTTAGAGTGAAGCTAGCCTACTGCCAGGGTTGCTTTATACACTTATACAGGAAGTGGCAAGTATCCATTAAGTTATAGTTACATTCTACTCTTAGAGTGTAGATTATTTGAGAGATGCTGGCATGAGTCCTCTCCGTGTGAGGTTTACAGCCTGAGGCCCAAATCCAAGAAAAAGCTGTAAAAAGCAGCACGTGAGTGAAGGGGAAGCTTCATCCTGAAGAAAACAGAGGCTTGGTTTGCTGCAGGTATGAGCTTCCTGTTTCTTACACCAAGCACAGATTTGAGAACCCCCGAAACATACCAGGTCGATAGGGTAGATGTAGGACAGCTCTGAGAGCAACTGCTTGCATCGAGCGGTCTGCTGGGCGCTGGTCTTCAGGAACAGTTCTCTTTGGGGAAAAAGAACCCCGAATCATTACCTTCTTCAAAAGCTTCCAATAAATACAAGCACCCATCACCTTTCCCACACCTTCCCAAGTATCACCTCCCCCTTCCCTCAGCAAAATACTTGCATTAAGATAAACGCAGGAGACAACCCTAGCTTTTTATCAGCTGTCTCTCTTACCACAGGCATGTTTTGACTATGACAATTAACTGTTACGAAGCAGTGCTTCACCCAAATTGGCAGGAAAGTCCTAGGGTGCAACAAAGCATCTTTTTCTACACTTGCTACCGTTCATTATCACTTCTGCTTTCCAGGAACTGGAGCATCTCTTAAAAGAAGCAGTGACAGCAGGAAGAAATCTGCACCACAGATGTCCCTTTTTAATGCCTTGCTCTCAAACCTCAAAAACTTCCTTTCCAATTGCAGGCAAGTGGGGAAGGAAAAAAAAAACCCAAAACATGGGTCCTTTTACCTCTTTGCAGTGCATTCTTTTCTTAATTCATGCAGGGATTCATTACGCTCTTGATGCTTCTGATACTCAGCCTCAAATGCATTTCCTAAGCAATAAGAGGAATCAGGAAACAAGAACAAGCAGTACCGAAGATTTTCTTAGTTATCATCAGTATCTAACCTTAAAAAGTCCAAGTGTTGGCACTGACCCTTTCATTTACTCCCAGGTGCTCATTTTCTGTGTCATGATGCCAAATTGGGGAACTGCAGTGTCACTCTTCATGCCCTATACAACATCCAACAGCCAAGTGCAGCCTACAAACCCTCATTCTCTTTTAAGACCTGTTTCCTCCATGGCCACTGTGGCAGCATAATTTAGTGGACATAGCTTAAACACAGCCAGAATTAACTGGAATTTCAGAAAAACTTCTCCACCAAGATCAGACATCCATGTTAAACAGCTGCTGGTGAGCTCTGAAGGCACAACCATGCAGCATTTCACCATAGGACACTTTCAGTGTAAAAGGAAAGGCCAAAGTGACAAAGCATTTCACCTTTTACTTGCTATAGAAGCTACTAAGGATGATTTTTGTCTTGTAACACTTAGAGTAGAATCCTAGTCACAGGCTCAAAAACATCCCTCATGGCATTAAAATATACTTGCATGGTACCAGTGCTACTGCTTACTGCACTACAGAGCAGCTCTCCTGATTTCTTCCAGGAAATTTTAGTTAGCACAGCTTTAAATCTCTTCTGTTCAGATTATGAACACCTGCAGCAAAGCAGTAACATCTGTATGCTCACCTTTGTCATGTAAAGTATTCTTTTCCTTATGTAACAAAGCTACTTCTTGACCAAGGGCCTTCCTCTGCCTCTCCAGTTCATTACGTAGCACCAGGATCTTCAACTGTAAACATTCACTCTCCTTTTTCTTGTGGAAGAAGAATAAAATAGGTGAAAAAGTAGTAAAAGCAACCTACTTATTTTTCAGTTTTTCCTCACGTAGGTAAATCCCTGAAAGAGGTGACAAGAAGAAACAGAACAAGACCAGCATCTAACAGAGAAAAGTGAGGTAATAAATAACCACATGTAATAGATTACGAGGGACCAAAATCATTTCACTGCTTTGGAAGGAGAAAAACTCAGCTGTGCTTGCTTATCCTGCAGGATCCATCTCCTCTCCTGTGCTCTGTGATGCAACCCAGCCCAGGGCAGAAATCAGAAGATGAAGGAGAGGCAACAGGAAAGTCCCCCAGGACACGTGGATGCTAACAGCAGAGCAGTGAGAGCACAGCGAGAATTCCCTGGCAAAGGGTTTGGTCACAGGAGGAAGGTGAGTAATGAGGAGTCTATGCCAAAGCCAGGCAGGAGGCTGGAAAAAGGCTGGAAATGTCTGAGCTGCACTATTAAATCCCATCCCAGCCTCAGTGTGAGGAGAAAAAAAGGATACAAAAGAACATAGAGTAGAGAACAGACTGTGTCATTATGCAGTTACATTAGAAGGATTCCCATCTTCAAAGTTTTAAGGATTTATTTCCTCTACATACTTGTCACTTTCTGCATCTTTAATAGAATCAGGTTTTTTTCCTTTGAGGCATTCTCTTCACTAGGAATTGATGCTGCTGTCAGCACAGCAAAGCAGAGTTTTCTACTACGAGTGTGCTTTCAGTTCCAAATACTGGTTGAGAATAACCATGAGCAGAGGGCTGCAGGGCCCCCCTTCAAAGACAGGCTGAGGGAGCTGGGCTTGTTCAGCATGGAGAAAAGAAGGCTGCAAGGTGACCTCATTGCAGCCTTTCAGTACCTAAAGGGAGCCTACAAACAGGAGGGGAATCAACTCTTGGAAAGGGGAGATAACAGCAGGACAAGGGGAAATGGTTGGAATTTGAAGGAGGGAAGAATGAGGTTGGATGTCAGGGGGAAGTTCTGTGCTATGAGAGTGGTGAGGTGCTGGAACAGCTGCCCAGAGAGGCTGTGATGCCCCGTCCATCCCTGGAGGTGTTCAAGGCCAGGTTGGATGGGGCCCTGGGCAGCCTGGGCTGCTCTGAAATGTGGAGGTTGGTGGCCCTGCCTGCAGTAGGGGGGTTGGAGCTTCGTGATCCTTGAGCTCCCTTCCAACCCAAGCCATCCTATAATCCTATAATTCTATAACTAAGGATAGATTCAAAATGGAAAAGAGAACCTGCAATCCAGCCCTAGCCTGGACAGAGCTCCTAACCCAAGGGCAGCCCTGAGCACGTGCCACCAGGCACTGCCACACCGTAGGACTCAGCCAGCTTTCACTTCTTCCAGGCAGCCAACGAGGACAATCCTTAACACTGTGTGAGAAAGAGGCAGCACTGTACTGAGCTCTTCCCTCTGCCTGTTTGCCTCAGTTACACACGTATGCTCAGGCTCCTGCTTCAAGGCTCCAGCAGGAAACGTGACTCAGTCTTAAGGAATGGAACCATAGTTTATGCATTTCTACAGAGGAACGGAATCCCAGGAAGAGTTTTGACTGTTGAACAAAGCAAAAGTGGGTAATTATTTCCTTGTATTATAGATCATTTTACTAAGAAGCTGCATCACGTGCCATGCTGTTGTCAGTTTTGGTTTTAATGCTCTTCACGCAGTCGCGCTCGCAAATTTATTAAGGAAAAGCTTTTGGAAGGAGGGACAAGGAGATTTATAACCAGAAAGATAAGATGATAAAGATGATTAAAAGCCTTTTAACAGCCAGGATACCAGCAGAAGGCCAATAAGCTTTAGGATGGAGTTAAATTGCTCCTAAGGGAGTTGAAGTTGTCTACAATGCAATCAGTTTTTTCTCCCCATTTTCACACTTTGTCAAGCCCTAAACACAGTTTGGCACCTTGTGAAATTGAGTATTCTCAAAGCAAAATCCATCTTCTAAAGCTTACATCACAGAAGTTGCTTTTTCCTCCTATACAAGGCACCAGATGCAAACCACTCGAGCACCAGCACGATCTTCTAAATGTGAGCTATTCTGTTCTGCAGACTCGTTGCTTTGACCTGAGTCAAAAGACTGAGATCCTTTTGGGCACAACCTAAAGCAGGTGCCAGTATATTTTTAAGGGGAAGGCAACAGGTCAGGCAAAACAAACTGCCAAAAGCTATTATAAGGTCCAGTACAATTCCTGCTTAAAATTAACATGTCAATTGAGCAACAGCTTTCGCATGAATTCCATTCACCCAAAGGGAGCAGGTTGGAAAAAGATGCAGACAGCAGACTCACCTCACTCTAAATCCATCACAAGAACCCATCAGGAGTTACTTGAAGAATTAAAGTTTGGTTTTCCTGATAAACTTCTTATGTATATGATAGTGATAGGACAAGGGGGAATGGCTTTAAAGTGAGACAGGGGAGGTTTGGGTTGGATATGAGGAGGAAGTTTTTGAGCCAGAGGGTGGTGAGGCACTGGCACAGGTTGCCCAAGGAGGCTGTGGATGCCCCAAACCTGCAGGCATTCAAGGCCAGGCTTTGATGTGGCTCTGGGCAGCCTGGGCTGCTGGTTGGTGACCTGCACACAGCAGGAACAGGTTGGAAGTGGATGAGCACTGTGCTCCTTTGCAACCCTGGCCATTCTATGATTCTATGATTTCCTGTTCAAGTTTTATGCTTCTACAGCATAGAATAAGGCTTTAAGTAACCAAACTTACCAGTTCATTGCTTGTAGATGTGCATCTCAGCTTTTCTTCTATCTCCCTTCCTATTTTCTGAACGGTTACCTGAGTCTGTTTAATTGCACACTGGGCTCTGTGAAGCCTGTAAAGAGAAGAGAAATCACAGCTGTGTTAGAGGTTTCTCACAGCTCCTAATGGTGAATGCACCAGGCACGTCGAAGCCAGCAAGGCAAGAGAAACTCAAATTGCCACCTCCTGTTGAAGAAAACACAGAAGAAAGCAATGGGAAAAGGCAGATCTAGAAGTCATTAGCACCCTGAAACTAACGAGCACGGATTGGAAATCAGCGTATTTCTTGGAGGAAATGAGAATCAATGTGAAGACACAGAACTTGTCGTGCGAGCCCAGGTGCACTCTTCCCAATCATGGCTCTGCAATTAACTCCTCCTTTTGTTAAGATGCTATTCATGCTGCTGCAGTAAGAGTTCACCTAGGGTCTGCTCAGAACAGTAAAACAGTGGGCAGTTACCCACTGCATTAAGCAAACGCTTTGCCAGGCTGTTCTCATACAGGCTTTAATGACCACCTCTGCTCAGCCAAAATTAAAGATTTCTGTCCCTTTGAAGGAAAGTTGAATTTTACTGAAGGATTGTTACACATCTGCTGTGAGCCAAGGACCAAAGCACGACAGCACAGCAGAGAAGAGGCTGCTCAGCTCCTTCCTTTTACAGTCCCTAATTCCTTTAGATTTAGGAGCAATGGAGGCACAGCTACGTAAAGCCTCAGGTTAGCAGCTTCCAATGGCCTGCATGCAGTGAGGCCAAGATCTCCAGGCCACATGCTTCAACCACGAGTTATCACAAAGCACTGCTTCTCACACCACCTTCCAGCATCCCAACTTCACTCCACAGCATCTATGAGGAACCAGTTTCATCAGTGTGAGGACAGCACCTAACCCAGCTGAGCCCAGCAAACCAGCACACGGGAGCCAAGTTTCTGAAGCCTACAGCACCAGTTCACTCATGGGATTGGTCTCACAACCCTGTTAGAGGCATAAGAGCTCTCAAAAATGTGTATTTCCTATTTGGAACTGCCTTCCCACCTTCACCAGCAGAATCTAAGTCTCCTACCCAACAGTTTCCAGCCTGCCCCATTCCAAAGGTCTGGAACGTTTTCTTTCCAGACGTTAGAAATTCTTACTCAGGGCTAAGAGCAATGACAGAACGGAAGGTAAATTCCCCTATCTCTCCTCTTCATCTGATATGATTATGGGAAGAACACAGTTAGGCACTCAGTGCAGCTCAGCCCCGCTTGCTGCAACGCTCCCACAGCAAAATCCCACTGCTGGGGTTGGTTTACCCATCAAAGGAGCATTCACCAAGCTAACAGACTGTCAGAGGTTTGTTTGCCACATTTGTGCTCAGTTGAAGAACCTGCAAGTTTTATAACAGCCTTGAGTCCCACCCACACCCAAGAGTGAGGAACAAACAGCCACCAAAGACTGACTCTTAAACCAGTACAAACTATAGGACACCTCAATTTGATGATTCCCTGTCTAGAAGGGTATTCTCAAACTAGAGGCTGCTGCACAAAACAGTTCAGCAACTGCCTGGTTTTAATATAGATTTGGTTTTAAGCCAAAGATCACCTTGTCATTTCTTGCAAGAGAAAGAGATGCTACAGTTCAACCTGGCTGCCTCAGAGTCAGATGCTGCCACTTGCACTGAGTCAAGCAGCATCAGCAAGCCTTCATCCTTGCTCCAGTTGTCCCAAGAGCTTCAAAGCAGTAACAATAAGGTCACAGTCACACCTGCAGCTGGGCCATCCGAGATTAAAACTGCAAGGACTTCACAGCACAAAGGCAGCAATAGGCAGAACTCTCCTCTCCCCAGAGCCCCTACCTGCACCCACATGGAAACCTGTGGTCACCCAACTGCAGGAATGCAAACTAAGCCATGAGAACACCAGCATGGAGACTCTGCCCATCAGCTCCATGTGCACAACAGACCTCAGTGAAGTCAACGACGACTGCACCAACGCACAGAACACCAAACGCAGGCCATAAATCTGGATTAAAATTTAGATATAATTAATGGAGATGAAGTTCAATGCTAATAGACCACATCTTGTTTCCATTTCTCATCTGCACAACACGGCCAAAGCTAGAGCCTAAAGTTAGCACAGTGTGTGCCTTGAGTACAATCCAAATGGGTTTAGTAATTGACAGCTACAAGCCAACTGATGGCAATAACCTACGCGCTATCAGCCAACGCAGGATTCTTCCTAGATCATTTAAGTGATTTTTATTATTATTTATTATTAAAATTAGCACTTACACAGCACTTTAAGAGCTAATTCAGAGCTCTGAGAGGCTCTTGGCCTGCCATCAAATTCCCATCGATGGTCAGGGAAGCCAAGACAGCTACAGCAGAAACTCAAGCCTTCTTAAAGAGAGATCTTAGCCAACAGTGTCGTCATTGCAGCGTCCCTGCAGCAGCTCACAGCCACGGTCAGCCAGCAGCAGAGTAACAGGAACGTAACTTTGATAGATTTACTGCTGTTGTTTGGGGTCCTGAGAGCTGCTGTGCAATTGCCTGAGATCAGGTGAGTTGCACAATGCTGCTGGGAAAGCAGTGAGATGAAAGCAGACGTTAAAATCCCACACTGGGGAGGCCACCCTAATACAGTTTGGAAGGGGAAATGCATGAAGCTGTTGTTCTCCTTCCATTCTCATACCACGGGCTTTCTGAGACTCTGCAGAAGATGAAAGTATTCTTTAATCCGAGGGAAGAGAGAGCAGGGGAATAGATACAAAAACATCAGTCATGTACTGTAATTTAAAGGCAACAAAAACTGCATCTACATCATTGCTTTAAGAACCTGCGGGCAAAATGTCAACACCTTCACTGCTTGCTGGTTCCTGAATTGATGAAACCTGGGCTCACGAGGGCATTCATAAATGGTCTGAGTTGGATAGAGCCACTGAAGGCCATCTGGTCCCACTTGCTGCAGTGCACAGGGACACCCCCAGGTGCTCAGAGCCTCATCCTGCCTGATCCTCAGCATCTCCAGGGAAGGGGCACCCCCACCTCTCTGTGAATTTCTCTGGGCACCACATCTCTGAGCATTTCTCCAATGCTTTTCAAGTGTTTCCTCTCCCTCCCCCCAAAAAGTACCTTTCAGCTTGGCTTTAAGATCTGAAATCATTCTAGTACTCAGTCAGTGTTCTGCCATAAAAACCTGAGTCGTTTGATATCTTTGAACATCTTTAAGGTTGAATTTGATGTTCTGGAAATTAACTCAACCTGGGAACAAACCTGGGAAAAAAAAACCTGTCCAGTTTTGAACTTCTTCACTATTACATGACTTGTTAGCAATTACGTTCCAGTCTTGTTAACACAATAAAGCAGTTTTCCCAACTTCCCAAAGACGGCACAGCACAAGGGTCCAACTTAACTCAACTTTCACAGCCTGGGAACATGCTGTGATGCCATGTTTGTCCTCTTCCAGTTTGCACTGTACAACTGCACAGCTTCACTTGAAGCTTTGTCTGAACCACGCTTCTTTCACTCTGCTGTATCATCATAGAATCACAGAATGGCTTGGGTTGGAAGGGAGCTCAAGGATCACGAAGCTCCAACCCACTGCCAATGCAGGGCCACCAACCTCCCCATTTCAGAGCAGCCCAGGCTGCCCAGGGCCCCATCCAACCTGGCCTTGAACACCTCCAGGGATGGATGGGGCATCACAGCCTCTCTGGGCAGCTGTTCCAGCACCTCACCACTCTCACAGCACACAACTTCCCCCTGACATCCAACCTCAATCTGCCCTCCTTCAACTTCAAACCATTTCCCCTTATCCTGCTGTTATCTCTCCCTTCCAAGAGTTGATTCCCCTCCTGTTTGTAGGCTCCCTTTAGGTACTGAAAGGCCGTATCTTCCAAGTGAGATATTCCTCTTGGTTGTTAATTGCTCTGCTGATTTACTGCTTTACATAGCAACTCCATTCCTGGCTTAAAAAAAAAAAAAGCTGGGAGTCCACTGATGGTTTTGCCTATTAAGCCAACATATGTTTATGTTTACATTAATGAAATGCCTCAGCTTTATTCAACATTTGATATTCTGTAGTTCCACCACACACTCCAAATATCTGCTTCTATCAGACATCTGGATTTTTCACGTATGGAGCTTGAAGCCATAAATACATCAATTAATGACAGCAGTCCATACTGCACTACTTCTCAAGAGAAACAAATGCCTCAAGTCTCATTTGCCAGAACGACGACAAGCCTAAATTTAAACCAAGAATTACTACCAGGGATTTAAAAACAGAACAGATTGCTTCTGGCCATTGGTGAGACGCAGGATCCTGGAAGTAAAATACTCCAACCTACTACTAAACAAAGCCAAGGCTTTCCTAATAAAGAAATGCAACACATAGTTCTTTAAATCAGACCAGAGATTAGATTATAGGCAGTGCCAGCCAGCTGTAGCACATTTCTTACACAGCCCCTTAAACCGTCACTGTCTGCATTTACTTTCCCACAAGAAAAAAAATCTCTTAATTTATAATCATAGACTCCCCTTCCCACTTTCCTTGGGAACCTACTCCTACAATTTGTCAAAAGCAGATGGAGGACAAGAGAAGGCAGTAGGGAATAAAATGCAAGCCTGGCTCATTTATTTACAGCATTAAACCTCTGCAAGAGTCAGCATTGTAAGGAGCTCACAGAAGATGCTTTCAGATACTTTCCATCATCCTCTCAAATGGTTTCAAGTTGACTTCCACAGGTAGGACTCGAATTAAGTGGCTGAATAATCAAGGCCATGTGGGCACTGCACCAGTGGATGCTTTCAGCTCTTTGCAATTGGAGAAGGGAAAAAAAAAAACAAACAAAACCCATCAGATGGGCAGCTAGGAAGGCCTCCAGAAGGAGGAGCATCTAAAGGAGCCAATGTGAAGATCACCTTCACTACAGCGTGGGCTGTGAGCAGAAAAGGAGAAAGCCTCCAAGCGGAGCATCCATTTCCCCCAGTAATGCAGGCTCAAAACCCGAGGCCTCCAGCAGCCTTGTTTGAATTCACAGATCTCGACTACAGCTGAAGCAGAGGAGGGATCTACCACAAGACAGAGAGCAGAGGGATGCTCTGAGCTCTCGCAGAAATATTCTGCAGTTGCTCCATACAGGAGCATCGCCCCCATGCTGCTCTCAGAGCATTCTCCCAGTGAGAGGTCTTGAACCCATTGCATTTGTTCTCAGTCACAACACAGTACAGACCTTCCCTGGCGTGGCGAGCTATTTCTGATCTAAATCTTCATTGAGATTGCTACCCAGGGTGAGAGAAGGAAGTCAGTGTATTGTCCTGAAGGCCACACCAAAATAAGGAAGAGTCCCAGCAGACCTGTTCAGGTGGTGCGCAAGGAAAGCTGAAGATAAGGCTAACAGCAGAGGAAGATCACCAATCCTCCATTTATGTTAAGGTACAAAAAAATTCTCTTAGGCTTCATGGACCGTTTCAACTTGCTATGAACCACGCTGCTCTCTTCCACAGATTTTGGCAAAATCCAGGCTTGGAAATTGACTCTTCTGATGACTCATTAGTCACAGTGTCAGATAGCTTAGCACCACACCAGTGAAACCCCTGGGAAGTGCTTTGCCTCAAACTGTGATGCTACAGATGGAAATCCTTAACAAGCCTCCCAAAAATGGAATCTCCATTTCCATTTCCACCTCCATCACTGCTTCCCATCCCAGGAAGATGCTACCCCACAACTCTGACCCACGTGAGTTTTAAGGTGAAAGGGGATCACACCTGACAGGCTCATCCATTTCAGCGCTGCTCACTGCAGTCTACAGAGGCACTCCAGAGGTCTGATTACAGTTCATATTTATTTATGCTGGCTTTAAGCCACCTGGGTGCTCGTGTCCAAAGCCAAGAGGATGCCTGCCTTGCCTTGGCTGCCTACACAGTGCAGAGAGCCAAGTCTTCCAGGTGGAAATCTTCCCCAGTTAGAAACATCAAGTCTGGCCACTGCAGAAAAACATTTAAAAAGGCTTTGGTCACAGCTATGAATTGGGATCCTTCTCTAAGAAGAGAGAAGGGGGGGAAAAAAAAAAGCTAGAAACAGACAGCATAATCCTCAGGGCATACTTTAAAATGCAAAAATCTTTCCTCTGTCCCTTCATTTCCTACCACACACCTACCAATATCCTAAAGGGACAGGTGCCCAAAGTCAGTTACCCCGTTTGGCTCATGTAATTCCATGGATGCTGAACTGCTTCCACTAACTGCATGCTTGGTCTCTTTGTTCCTCATCTCAGGGATTAACTCCAAGATTAGTTAGTTATAACTCCTGCTAAAGACAGAAGGAATTAATCACCAGTTGATCCATTTGTTAAAAAGCTGCTTTCCCAAGCTAGGTAGAGCTAAACAAAAAGTAGTGAGGCACTGGCACAGGTTGCCCAAGGAGGCTGTGGATGCCCCAAACCTGCAGGCATTCAAGGCCAGGCTGGATGTGGCTCTGGGCAGCCTGGGCTGCTGGTTGGTGACCTGCACACAGCAGTGGGTTGGAACTGGATGAGCACTGTGTTCTTTTGCAACCCAGGCCAGCCTATGGTTGTATGATCAACGTGACCAGGTTCAATACTGCACAGCTGCTCATTTGATTCAGTCCAAAAGAGAAGTGGCTCATACATTTCCCTGCCTCTAGTAAGGAAGTAATAGTTGAAAAGCTGAGCTTTGTTCCCCCTCCAAGCAGTGTCTTGTCACTGCCCACCTTTGGCCATTTAAGCTCAGTGAAGCTGAGCTGTTATTGGAGAGCTGCTCACCTGGTGTTTTGAGCTGCTTTGAAAAACCAACTTCAGCTTCTCAGGACACTGCAGCCAAATTTATTCTCTTATCAGCAGAACTGGGAGAAGATGCTTTGTTTAATGAAAGCTCGTGTGCTCCCTGGAATTGCTCTAGTTCTCCAGATTGGGATTGAAAAGGTCACAATGATCCCTTGCTACATACAAAGTTGCCAACCACCAGACCAGGCTGCAAGAACAATTGTAGGACTCAAGACACTGCTTTTTTGTACTTAGGAACTGAAGGAGAGATTTTAGCCTACAGGGCTAAGTCCTTTCTGTAGCAGTTGTCAGCACATCCCATCTTCCCACTACCTCTTAATGTGAAAAACTCTATCCTCCAAGGTTTAAAGGACAAAAAAACCTGAGCAAAGAGTAAATCTGAATCTATTCCAGTCAGTACTGCTCAATTAGAGCTCAATTAGAGGGACACAGCCACAATATGACCTCAGGTAGAGGTGGCCCATCCTGAGTAGCTCTGAGAGGTGAACCACGTTACCACAGAGCCTGTCACAACCAGCTACAGAACACTTAGAAAGCCTTGAAGTGAATCTGTCAGGAAATACGACAACGTTGCCAAGGGGGAGAAAAACCCTTCAGCATTTCAGCCTCTCTTCTTCATAAAGAAATGACTGCAAGAACATTTGCCACTTGCATGTGGTGTGAACAGCTTATTAGCTGCACCACGGCTGCCTCAGGATCTTGTCCACGCACCACAGCATGAAGGTTCAGGAGCTACAGAGGTGCTGAGCACTTCCTTGTGTACAGCTAAGCTATCTGTCTTTTCCTCCTGCTTAATTAACTCGTAAATCCATGCAATTAAGCATCTGAGCACACAGGCACCCTTTTAATCTAACGCTCCAGTTTTTCTACTGTTCACACTCTCTGGTGTTACTAATTGCCTTTTTTTTTTTAATGAACATAATTGGAGCCAAGCACGTGTTTTTCATTAAGGCCCATTCACCAGCTTCGTAAGCTTCAGCTATTCATTTCATCCGAAAGCTAACAATAAAAACCATTTCTTCCCCCCCAGAAAAAGCAGTTCTGACAGCTGAAGAAGTTCTTCTCATTTTGCAGTTTTCAAGAGGAAGGACTGAACTGGGAGATGGTCTCAATCTCCATGCTGCAAACCTGTTGGTGTTGTACCATCAGAATAACTCCAGACTGCAGCATCACCAGGACCTGCTTCTTTCTTTGAGAAATTAAAAGTCATTACAATTTTCCATATTCACAATCTGACAAAGAAAATAAAAAAACATTGAGCCACATGTGCAAGCTGTGAGGTTCTACTACAAATACACCATCTAATGAAGAAAAGTCTTCAAAATGTGGGATTTATGTGAGCAGATGCAAACCTTTATAGCAAACACTTCCCTGTTCTCTTTATGGTCAATGGACAGAAGCAGGCAGGCAGCAATTCATTTCCTCTCAAAGTATACGTCCTGTCAGATGAGTCACTGCTCAGCTTGTGCCCTGCACCTCTCTTCTGCTTCTAGGAGGAACGTGCTCACAAAAACCATCTTTGGAAAGAGTTTATAGGCTGGTTGTTCAGGCCTGGACTCCTGGAAGAGGTGGCAAACCAGACTTCCCAGTAGGAGAAATAGCACAGCTGTCAAACAGAGACTGGAGGTGATTAGCAAGGAATAAATGCTACCATCAGTCTTTTGAGTGAGGTGTCACGGGGAAGCAGCAATAGAGAAAGCAGATCTGTAAGAAAAGCTGACTTCATGCACGACGTAACAGGGAGGATCTGGGACTGCACAGAACTTTGCCTCAGTTCCCAAGGAATTTTCCCACTAGCAGGGAAGCAGGTAGAAAGGCCAGCAGTTGTGAACATCAACTTCTGCAATAAGGCAACGCAGTACTGCCTGATGAAGCATGCAGAACCCACTGATACGTATTAGCAGCAGGGCTGCTGTCCATCAAGTCCAAAACCAACTGTTTCTTCTTCTGCATTGTGACTCACAAGCAAATAAGGGAAGAAAAAAGAAATGCATGACCAGCACACATTTTCTTCTGTTTAACCAAGGTTTAACATCAGTTAGTATTCTTTAAAGAGGTTTCTTCCCATGGCCCAACAACCCCTCTGGTTGTTTCGTACAGAAGGCACAAGTCTGGTAGGCAGCCTTTAGTTGCAGTGTTTCAGAGAGTCAAGAAGCAGCACACCAATTTTAAGAGAGCTCGTAAAAATAACGACAACCCAGAGTTAACTTTTCCTACCTTCCCTTCAGGTTTAAGGCCAGCCCTTCCCGCAGACAACAGTGACACCTACTGCCAACGCTACCAAACGACAACTTCCACAGCACGAAGCCAAATGTTTTCCCCATCGCCTCCGACAGCACGCCCTCATTTGCTTCTAAAGGATCTCGTTTGCCTGCTGCTATTGCTACAGAACCAGAGCTCACAAGCTGCCTTGTAAGACACCTTTTAAACGCAGCTTACTCCTCAAATCCAACTGCAGAGTTTACAAACCCTCTGTTATACCTCCCCACAGCTGATATTCTTAACTACTGCATTAGAACAGGTCTGAAAAAGGCCATTTCGGCAACATTCATACCCACATCCCATGTTTTTCCACCAGCAGAGAGTCACTAACCAAAAGTGGGCAGGTATAGCACTGGTTCTATACTGCACACCAGAATAAATGCATCTCGAGCAGCTATCTTCTGGATTACATGGGAGGATTATGCAAAACACAGGTTCAGTTGGGTAGTTCAACAGAAACAAAGCAGCTGTGCAGCTATTTTGCCCCAACTGTGGTACCCATGCTAACCAAGAAAGTTTTAGCAAGGTGCTTCGATGTCATTCTTTAAATCCCTTTAGAGCAGTTTTCATTTTGTTGAGGAAAACGAAGGGCTTTCCATAGAAACTCCCTACCAGAGAAGCTTTATGATTTCAACGCTTGCAAGGCAGCCCACAGGCAAGCTCTGCAGGCAGTTCAACATCACTGTGCTCAAGTGTTCATCATCAGCAACAAGGACAGCAAGAAAGATGCATCAAGGCTCATCTCCTCGCCACCAGCAGTACATCCACCCTGCCCAGATAACCCCTTGCACATCTAAGCCAAAGAAGATGGATTCCATACTTGGAAAAGCTCTTTCTATATGCTTTGAAAAAGCTAAAATGGCTTGATAGAGTATTTTCAACATCCTTACCTAAGCAAAGAGAAGACATCGTAAGAGTTACGAACGCAGTTCTGATCCACCTGGAGAAGGCTGTTCTTCAGGGTACCTGAGTGATCCTTAAGGCAAAGAAAGAACAGTCAGACATCAAAAATGCTTCCATCTGGACTACAAGCTTGTCTTACCAACGCACATCAGATAATCCTGAATCTAATGTTTTAAATGCACCTTCATACAAGCTTACATTCTGTTGGTAGAACTCATTCAAGAAGGCAACAGTGGCAGCTCAAGCCTGGGCTGCAACTACACTTAGCTACACAATGATATAGGTCATTAACACTCATTAACACTCATTAACATAGTTTTCTAGACACTGTATTTTTTTTTGACTGATGAAGCCCTCCCTTCACTTAAAAGATGCTTAAAAGATCAAATCTGAAGTTTTTCAGATACAGAAGGCTTTCTGGAAGTTACAGTAACTCTGTGTCATTCTTAAGAGAGCAACAAAGCCAGAACAACACAGTCCAACAGGCAATTCTTCACTCTGGAAAGGTGTGATAGCGAACTTCTCCCTATCAGGTGTAGCCACACAAGTGCTGTGAAATGGCACAATGTCTCTGAGCTGTTTCTTCACAGGACAAAGCAAGCTGTAAACAGGTTCAACAATCCAGCAGCACTGCCAGAAACTTGAAAGACTGCAGGAAAAAAAAGTCATGAATATTCATTTCAGTAGAGAATGTATGCTAAAATAGAAGGTGATACAACTGCAAGAAGCCCTATTTATATATTCTTTACCTGCCTCAACAGGCTGTTCTCATATGGAAGGTGTTGAAATGCAGTTGAGTTTCAACACCTACAGAGCTGCAAGAGCCACAGGCCATGCAGCAGCCATCCCTTTCTGCCAGATGCAAGGCTCCATCTAAATAATCTGAAGACCTGCGTGTTACATTATGCACCACACTGCAACAGAGGCACCCTACCAGCAGCCACCTCTGCTCCTCATTCCCATTCTCAAGACTTCCGATACCACATGTTGAAATCTGTATTCGCAGCCCCAGAAAAAAAACACAGAAGAAAGATGGTTCAATCCCTGAATCAGGTAGGTGGAAAACTGGAAGTGTTTTTCAACCACAAAGTTGATTTGGTTTCAAGAAACACTGCCTTCCAAAAGCAAGGCACACAGCTCTCCAGAGAACAAGCGAAGCAGCCTGGGATCACCTGGCTGCAGGATGAGAAGAGCTCAGCCCAGTAGCACGTTGTAGCCTTCTCTTTTCCCCCCATAACACAGAAGGATTGAAAAGAAATGCCCAATAACACAGAGTGCTCTACACAACCTGCTCTACTCTGAGGTAATTTGCAGGACACAGAATAGTCAGAATCCTTAGAGCTGGAAGGGACCTATGAAGGCCATCTGGTCCAATTCCCCTGCAACAAACAGGGACACACACAGCTCCATCAGGTGCTCAGAGCCTCCAAATGTCTCCAGGGTTGGGGCACCCACCACATCTCCGGGCAAAGGAAAGGTTTCAAGCTTAGTTACTGAATAGGCTTGCTCTTCAGAAGCAGAGTTGTCTGCTTGTCTGCTGCAGTACATATTACAGATATAGGCACAAGTACTTACAACAAGCACACAAAGGCTTTATTTCTGTAACATGGCTGAGATCCAGCTGCATCAGGGGGAAAAAAGAAGGTAGATGCAGGGTTTGTACCTTGCTGATGTAGATTATGTACTCTAAAGAGAGAAAGTCTTACTGCTTGATTGTTGGAAAGAGAGCTGCAGCTCAGTAAAGCCTGAAGAAAATAACTCAGTCTTCTGTCCATCTTATCCCTCAGCACTGCTAAATGCTTTGAGTTACCTAGAGCTTTGAGTTACTAGCTCTGCTATTATTTCTTTGAGGAATCAACAGCAAGGGCAAGAATTCCAAGCACAAAGATGTATTTTGAAGGTTACTTTGCAGGAAAGAGGGCTGGAAGGTTCTAAAACAACAGCTGACGTGCATCACGTAGCAAAGATGTAAATTTCCAGTGCTTTGAGTTCAAAGTTGTCCATTGAGCTCACGTGGGCACACTGTTCTTACTGTTTGTGTCTATCATTTGATCAGCAAGCTGCCAGCTTTAATCAAGAAAAACAATCGTGGCAGCACTTAATGTTCCTGTCCTACTTCAGATTGCTCTGCAGCTGTAGCTTCCAGGCTCCCCCCTCTTTTGTCACAGAGGAGTTGGCAAGATAGGAGATGGGAGCATGCATCTCATGGATCACCTGTAAATCTATAACATGTTTTGAAACAGAGTTGATAAGAAGCCTCCAGAACGTTTCATTCCAACAGTTCCCTTCCTTTGGCTCAGCAGACTTCTTCAATGAAAAGGACATTCAGAATCATAAATATTTATTCTCCCCTTTAATAAAATGCATATTACTGTAAGAATTTATAGATCTAGCCTGGCTGTTTCAACAGCAGTTCAAAGAATCGTTAAATAAATAGGGATTCTTTGAAGCAAAATGGGAGAAACTGAGTTAGGAGAACACTACTATCATGATTCCTAAGGAGGTGTGTACTAAGAGGACACTGCCAGCACTGAGTGCTGCAAGGGGTTTGCAACAGACCTGCAGAAGGGCATCTGGACACATCTGCAGTCAGAAGGCTTTGTAAGCTCTGGTGTAAGTAAACAAGAAGATAAAAATGAAGCAGCACCCTCAGAAATCAGTTCAAACACTGTTCAAACACTGATGCTGCCAAAGGGGAAAGGTATCACATGCAGATTCCACAGGAACAGGCTCCTGACAGAAAGCATCCCTTCGTAAAGGTTTTAGGTAGTGCTTGGTAACAGTAGCTAGTACACCCACCAAAGTGAGGCTGCTTCATATCCAGAATATCTAGCATTAAAACTAGGGATTAACTGTTAAGAACAGAAATATTCCTCAGGTACACACAGCTTCTGAACGCTACAGGAAGAGCCAGTGCCAATTAGTTTGGCTTGAACTGCAGACAAGTGAGTTGCATACAGGAGGTGTGTATTATACAGCATAGTTTGGTTGAGCAGCTGACCAGAAGAAACCAGAGCAGGGCAACAAAAGCTTTAGCTCTTGCAACAAGAATAAACTACAAGGAAGGACAACAAAAATAAAGAGAAAAATGCCTTTTTTTTTTCTAAAAAAAAAAAAAGAGACCAAAATTGGTCTCATCACTTTCAAGATGCTTTAAATTTGAATGAAATGCCTGCCTCGAGGGACAGAGCATCAAAGCTTATTTTCAGTAACCAGGACTCCTTAGGTCTTTGGTAAGCTCTAAGTCTTGCATGAACAGCTCAAATGTACAAGTAACAGAAGCTGCAGCTCCAATGCATCGTGTCAAGAAAATATTCCTTCTCAAAACCAAGATATTTTAATGTTTCGAGCATCCAAGCATGAAAATTTCAGTCCAGAAATTGAATTTCAGCTCATCACCAGTACTGACAAGCTGAACAAGTAAATGATATCCTCACCTTCTGCTCATACGAAGCTCCATAATAACCATCATTGAGACCAAAAATAATCTCGTTTGGGTTTCTTGCATGTATCTGTAAGAAAAGAAAAGAAATGATTTTAAGGTCAACTTCCTATGGCTCTGCACTGCAGCTGAGCATAAACCTTGATGATGAAACACAGTTTTTCAGCTCAGTTTTTCCAGTTTAGAAGAAGAAACCTGACAGCAAACTGAATTTAACCACAGAAAAAGGATTTATATCACATCCTTCACAACTGCTGCTGAGTACGTTCAGCCACGTCCCTTGGAAGGTGGGAGGTGGTGTGGATCTGCCTGAGGGTAGGGAGGCCCTTCAGAGGGATTTAGACAGGTTGAACCGCTGGGTTGAGGTGAATAGGAGGAGGTTCAACAAGGCCGAGTGTCGAGTTCTGCACTTTGGGCACAACAACCCCATGCAGCGTTACAGGGTTGGGGATGAGTGGCTGAGTGTGAAGAAGAGAAGGACCTGGGGGTGTTGGTTGGTGCTGGGCTGAACAGGAGCCAGCAGTGTGCACAGGTGGGCAAGAGGGCCAGCGGCAGCCTGGGCTGCATTAGGAATGGCCAGCAGAGCAGGGAGGGGAGCATCCCCTGCACTCAGCTCTGCTGAGGCTGCCCCTCGAGTGCTGGGTTCAGTTCTGGGCTCCTCACTGCAGGAAAGATGTTGAGGCCCTGCAGCGTGCAGAGAAGGGCAGCGAAATGGGGAGGGGTGTGGAGCACAGGGCTGCTGAGGAGCGGCTGAGGGAGCTGGGAGTGGTGAGGGTGAGAAGAGGAGCTCAGGGGAGACCTCAGTGCACTGTACAACCAACCTGAAGGGGGGCTGTGGTGAAGAGGGATTTGGCCTCTTCTCCCAGGCAACAAGCAGCACACAGGGCAATGGCTGCAAGTTGTACCAGAGGTTTAGGTTGGACATAAGGAAGAACTTCTCTGGGAGTTTGGTCAGGCACTGGAATGGCTGCCCAGGGAGGTGGTGGAGGCACCGTCCCTGGCAGGGTTCAAGAGGCGGCGGGATGAAGAGCTGCGAGATGTGGTTCAGTGCTGGTGGTGGCAGAGGTGATGAGATGGTTGGACTGCATGATCTTACAGGTCACTTCAAACCATGAGAACTAGGATTCTAGGATTCTAGGATTCTAGGATTCTAGGATTCTAGGATTCTAGGATTCTAGGATTCTAGGATTCTAGGATTCTAGGATTCTAGGATTCTAGGATTCTAGGATTCTAGGATTCTAGGATTCTAGGATTCTAGGATTCTAGGATTCTAGGATTCTAGGATTCTAGGATTCTAGGATTCTAGGATTCTAGGATTCTAGGATTCTAGGATTCTAGGATTCTAGGATTCTAGGATTCTAGGATTCTAGGATTCTAGGATTCTAGGATTCTAGGATTCTAGGATTCTAGGATTCTAGGATTCTAGGATTCTAGGATTCTAGGATTCTAGGATTCTAGGATTCTAGGATTCTAGGATTCTAGGATTCTAGGATTCTAGGATTCTAGGATTCTAGGATTCTAGGATTCTAGGATTCTAGGATTCTAGGATTCTAGGATTCTAGGATTCTAGGATTCTAGGATTCTAGGATTCTAGGATTCTAGGATTCTAGGATTCTAGGATTCTAGGATTCTAGGATTCTAGGATTCTAGGATTCTAGGATTCTAGGATTCTAGGATTCTAGGATTCTAGGATTCTAGGATTCTAGGATTCTAGGATTCTAGGATTCTAGGATTCTAGGATTCTAGGATTCTAGGATTCTAGGATTCTAGGATTCTAGGATTCTAGGATTCTAGGATTCTAGGATTCTAGGATTCTAGGATTCTAGGATTCTAGGATTCTAGGATTCTAGGATTCTAGGATTCTAGGATTCTAGGATTCTAGGATTCTAGGATTCTAGGATTCTAGGATTCTAGGATTCTAGGATTCTAGGATTCTAGGATTCTAGGATTCTAGGATTCTGATTCGAGTGGCCAGAGCTTCTTTTGGTGCAACACCACACTCAGAAACACAAACAAGTTATTCTGTCCAAGGCAGCTGTTGTTGAAGGACTGGCTGGGCATCAGATCTCCATTGGGAGCTGCTGAGTGACTGCTTCTGCATCCTGCATTGTTTTTCATCCTCTTCCCTCTCTTCTTTGTATTAAATTGTCTTCGTCCCAACCCACCCATGAGTTTTTCCTCACTCTTGCTCTCCTGACCATTCCCAACCTACCACTGAGCAAGGGGAGCTCAGTGAGAGCTGTTGGCTGCTACCAAGACCAACTCACCACGCATTAATATCCTCTATTTGCTCACCTAGCTGTTACAATTCTTTAAACCAGAAGTAGAAGAAAAACTGTTTTTGCTATACCTGCTGTCCCAAGTACTTCAATCCATCCAGATTGACCTTCCATTCGATCAGAAGCTGGAAGTGCTCCTTCTTGCCACCCCAGATCCTCACAACGAAACACGAGACAGACGTATCGAGACGATCAGGCATTATTCCAAAGTCCAAACTCCTCCAGGTTGGATTCTGTTGGCATTCAAAGGGAGATGAGAGGTACTGAAGCTGACAGTCCTGACCTCTAAGCACGACCCTAGAATGTAGCACTTTATGCAAACAAGGATTTTAACACAAAAGCATTTCATCATGAACAGCAGCATTTCAGCTTTTACCAAGCTATCAAAGGCTCTGAACAATTACTTCAATAACTGAGTTCAACCAAATCAAGCACTCGTAAAGTGGATGCAGTGTTGTTTTCCACATAATTTAGCTTCTGAAAACCAAACTATAGCTTTCATTGCAGAAGCTGAACTGCAGCTCTGACCTATTCCCCAGTAATTAAGTTGGCATAATTTATTTACAGGTTTGTTCACATCCTCCTCCTCCTCAACCAATGCAGAGGGCAACCCTTGGAAGAGCTGAGCTGTGAACAGATCTTAGGTATGACACAGACAGCTTTGTGACAATGAAAGAAGCATCTGAGACCAGTAAAAACATGATTAACATCATATTATGATGTTAAAACATGATTAACAAATCAACTTTGCCAGTTTGGTGTCCTCAGCATTTGAAACAGTTATCTGTTGTAAAGCTTAACCTGGACACCAAAGAGTTCTCACATCAAAGTGGCCCTGGGAGGGTCCCACGTGCAGAGGTACCAACTCATCTTTGTTCCTCAGCTGTGAAAACAAACCTGCAGATCTACTGTTCTGAACTCACTGTTCCAACTTTTGTGAACAGAACCTGAGGAGGAGGAGGAGAACGCGATGCTCCTAGAAGGAATTAAGAGTCTTAATACATGCTTAAAGAGTCACAGTGTGCAGCTGAGGAATTCACATACTGTGGCAAATACACAGTGTCAAAAGAAATGAGTTTCTTTTATATGAAAATGACTTACCAGAGAATTCTTGATCACTTCACTCTTATAAAATTCTAAAGAAAAATGAGCAAAAGACACTTTTAGATTAGCTTAAACACCAACAGAAATCTTCATATTTGAAACAAAAAGCCAAAACAAGTAACACTCTTGAAATATAAATGCTAATGGGTGTAACCTGTTGGGAACACACTGCTAAGAAAGACTTCAAAGTGCAGCCAACTCTTTTAAGCAAGTGAATTCACTGAATTATTTGAAGTCATTACTAATGTTTCACCATTGTAACCAAGATGCTCCCATGCCTTTGGTTTCTGGGAAAAGAATGTGGGCCAGTAATTTACAGGATTTGGTTGCCACTTCCCATTGGACTGGTTTGCTATTTAACACCTTCCTAGAGGAGGGCAGAAGGGATCAAGTGATTGCACTGCATTCCTGAAGAGCAAGGGTGAGCTGTTCCAGATGCTTAGAAGAGAGCCTCAGAGGTACCAAGAACCCTGGCCTTCGTTGGACACACAGCCCTTGGCTCTCCCAGGCAAAAGAAGAGTCTTTAAGCAGACAGCACCAGAGGCTGAAGCACAGACTTCATAGAAAACCTCTCAGTTTACTAAAATGAAAGGAAAAAAAATGTTTGACAACCCAGAACATTCCATGCCAGGTTCAAACAACCATCACAGAAGCCCGTGCAGCAGGCTCACGTTATACAACCTTCAGACAGAGACCTCAAATTAAAGCCTGGGTGTAACAGAACTCACTTCCAAAGCTCCGGCTGTTGACAGACCCAAAGAGAAGATAAAAATCTTCTCTCCATAATGAGGAGCTATTGATTGCAACGGGAAGCAAAGCACTAGGAACCAGTTCTAACGTTCACAAGTGTTGAAAGCAGAACAGATGAATGGATGTTTCTTGCCATTGGCTGACAAGAGTATTTTGGGAAGTGGAATCAAGTGCTGGGTTATGCTCAGGAAAATAACTGGCGTCCAGAAGCTTTAGCTTTCCTGTGAAATTGTAAGTTTCTAAATTCCTTAAACTCAAAGTTTAAGCTGAGAGAAAGGAGAGCAACAACAACAGGTTTTATTTAAGAGGCTCTACCTGAGCTGCCATCTGCTTTGCTTCCTTGCCTGCTTTTATGAAGTTCAGGATACTAAAGAGTGCTCTTCTGCTGCTCATAGAAATGATGTGAGTAGTGGCAGCAGGTTGATGAGGCAAAAAAGAATACAAAGCCAGGGTCCTAAAAGAATACTTGGTGAGAAAGCTGACATGAAGGCTGATTACCTTTGTATATCTTGGTGTTATCACACAGGTGGAGAGTGAAATACGTGTCCAAGAGGCGATAACCATTCTTACTGATGATGTTACGGGCAGCAATATTCCGAAGGTGGCGAAGCCGGCGCTACAAAACACAAGGAAATAAGGAATAGTTCCAGGAACTTCAGATTGAGGTGAAGCTTTTCTTATCATCACGTATGCATTTTAATGATTTGTACAAAAAAAAAAAAAAAAAAAACAACTTTTTTTTGGCAGAAACCTGGCGTTAACAATAGCATTCAGTTAAGTCATCATGAGCGGCCTGGATGAGCAGCAGCCAGCCTGCATGGGCTCAGCTGAAGCAAAAGTGATGCACAGGACACGCTACTCTTCCTGACATCCTGTGCATAGCTTTCACTCCACACATCTAAACCACTCCAACTATCACTTCCCAGAACACACGACAGCGTTGGCACAGAAGAGCAGCGTATCACCCAGTGTTCTGTATCATCACATTGGAAACAGGGCCAAGCCTGAAGCCTGCCCGAGAGGAATTAGAAGACAAGGAGCTCCAACAAGCTACTGCCATCGTCGTGGGCTGAACGAGGCTCCCTGCAGTCACAGCAACCCTGGGAACTGCTGCAGCACCCTTAAATAAAAAGCAGAACACAACAGAGATACACATCCAGAAATTGAGGGAAAATTATCCTTCCTAGGTTATCATTAACTACTCAAAGCAGTTTTGTTTCTGAAGTTACTGCTTGGTTTTGCTTCCTCTTTCAAGCCAGTGCATGCATAACAGAGAGTCAAGTGAACTCAGCACCTGTCTACAACATTCTCATCAATCTTCCATCACAAAACCCACTCCCCCACTGCCTTGCCTCCCTCCCCTAGGGATGCCAATGAGTGGCTGCCACCCTTTTTGGCCCACCCAAAGCTTGCCTGTATGCAGTCAGTCCTAAAAGGTTTTTAACAAGAGTCATTATTGGGTTTGGAACGACAACACCGTGCTTTAAAGTTCTCACTTAATCCTACAGGAATGCACTCACAACGGAAGGAAAACTAACACTGAAAGAATATTCAATTTCTATTCACGTGGCAGACTCAAAAGCACAGGTGGATAAGCTTCAGCCTCATTTCTGCTAAGCTCATTTATCAGACTTCAAGAGCAGCCCGGGACAGGATCATAGAATGGTTCATCATGGGATGAACCACAGGATGGGACCACGGGATGCCAAGAAAGGTCACAGGACAGCCACTTCCCTGGGCTGTGCACACAATGTAAAATAAGTCTTAATTGCAAGAGTACACAGTCCTTTTGGTCAGAAATTGGCATTGAGAATGATGACAGCAAGAATGCTTCATTACAAACCTACATGGAAGTCATCCATTGAACCTGCTCTTAAAGCTGTGCAGTTTCCTGGGTAGTTCAATCAGAGAAACACAGCCGCCCCGATGCGCCTTAAGAAAGATGCCAAGGTTTCAAACCTCCCAGCTTCAGCAGCATACAAGTCAACCACCGACCAAGCATGCTTCCCAATTAATAGAAAACAAAGAGACTAAACCAGAGAGCAGCTCTTGACAAGAAGGGCAACTTTCTCCAGTTCCTTTTTGGATTACAAACTAATTGCGTGACAGGTTGAAGTAACATGCTACAATGAATTCACCCTCCAGCAAAGTCAAACAAGTTTTTCCTCTTCTGTTTCACAAGCTCCAGAGCATCGTGACCTGCACTTGCATCTCAGGGAGCACAGCCAAGTTCTTATCTCTGTGTTTTGTGACTTGTTTGCACCCAAAGTCTGGAATTCATTGTAAAAACCTCAAGTCTCACTGCTTACAAACCAGTTGGAAGGGGAACGTTCTGTTTTGGGCTGTGAGAACACAACTTCAACCTCCAGCTCAGCCTTTGCTCTTCCTCCCTTCTGTCCCAGTCAGCCCATCATGCAGGGAACAGGCTTCCAATCATACAGACAATTTCCTTGTTTATGCTCCTAAGTATGAGATAATAAAGAGAGAGGGATTTAGACACTGAAAATAAACCTTCTACTTGCCCACCACATCTTCACTGTGGATGTACCACGTTATTCTGACTTCCTTGTTCAGCATGGAGAAGAGAAGCTGCGGGGTGACCTCAGTGCAGCCTTTCAGTACCTAAAGGAAGCCTACAAACAGGAGGGGAATCAACTCTTGGAAAGGAGAGAACAGCAGGATAAGGGAAATGGTTGGAAGTTGAAGGAGGGAAGAATGAGGTTGGATGTCAGGGGAAGTTCTGTGCTATGAGAGTGGTGAGGTGCTGGAACAGCTGCCCAGAGAGGCTGTGATGCCCCGTCCATCCCTGGAGGTGTTCAAGGCCAGGTTGGATGGGGCCCTGGGCAGCCTGGGCTGCTGTGAAATGGGGAGGTTGGTGGCCCTGCCTGTGGTGGGGGGTTGGAGCTTTGTGATCCTTGAGCTCCCTTCCAACCCACACCATCCTATGATGCCTCAGAGCTCTACGGTAGCAGCATCCAGAGCTCGTTAACCTCACCCAGCCAAAGATAATTAAAGTTTTAGCCAGCAGACCAACAGCTACAGAAGCAAATCCAACAGACCATTCAACCAGGCACCGAAACTCCGCACGAAGGCCTTGCAGCTGCTCTGTTTGGCTGGCTTAGTTTCACCAGCCCAGTTTCTCAGCACGGTGCACAGCGTGGCTGGTGCAGGGACAAGCAGCTGAATGCTGAAGTGAAACCACCAGCTCCAGACATGGGCAGAGCCACGTACAGCCCAGCACCTGTACAAGCAAAGGGAAAAGCAGGCTGTGGTCAGGCACCAGCCCCGTTTCCAACTGCAGAAGCTACTTCTTATAGAGAAGTAAACTACACTTCACCTCAAATACAACAGCTGCAAATAAGCCTGAGTTTCGTTTCCTTTTTCTCTCAGGTGAAGTGGAAAGAAAGCTGTCTCTTCTCATTAGAGATAAGTTTGGTTATTTATGTGTTTATAAACACTACCAGGAACTCCTCAACACAAGAAGGGAACCCATAAAGCTGAGATGCTCTGCAATCAGAGCAGCCATTCCATAAAGCCTGGTTTAAAGAACAAAATACAGGTGCTAAAAGGAAAAGAAAAAAAAAAATACATGTGGTAAATGCTTTGTCAACTTTATGATTCACATACCTTAGAACAGGCCAGCTGTGCTGATGAGCTGATAGCTCAGGATAAGCTTTAGATGAGCCAAATGTGCATTTCACTCAATAGCATTTCGCTTCCAAAGATGAATGAAGCAGTGAAATCACGTGGTAGGCCTGTTATCATTTAACTGCCAGTCCAAGTGTGTAAAAGCAATTGCCATGTAACATCCCTACAATGACTGACATGAAAACTTTAGTGTTTCCACCTACCTTGAAAACAAGTGGGCACAAACTGAGGGAAGAGATCCAGTCATTTCCCCTCAGAAGAAATCCTGCTCGTATCTAAAACACACTGTGAAAGGCAAAGGCAAACTTGCAGCCATCAAAGCTACTTCTTGCAGTAAGCCTGAACCACCCAGAGAACAGCGCCTACCTGGAGGAGCCTGAAGCATTCCTGACATTTCTGAAGTATTTGCCCAAGGTCACATAATGGGCAGCAAAAACAAGAAAAAGAGTCAGAACTCTCTGTTCTATCTCAGCCACTTTGTTGTTCTCTTACAGGAACCGAATGACCCCAGAAGAAATGGCAGATATGTTCAACTACGAATGATGTTAACAGGAGAAAGACAGTGGGCTGACTTTGCAACCCTAAAGGGAGCCTATAAACAGGAGGGGAGCCCAACTCTTTACAAGGGTAGAAAACAGCAGGACAAGGGGAAATGGTTTGAAGTTGAAGGGGGGAAGATTGAGGTTGGATGACAGGGGGAAGTTCTGTGCTATGAGCTTTCCTTTCTGGATTGTGCTGCTGAGCTCTGCACAAGCTGGTACAGAGCCTGGTTCTACACAGCTTTCCCAGTCTCCTGGCTTGCCTGATGACCCACAGTGACTCGGAAAGAATGTAAGCAAAATCCCTCCAGCTATTTCAACATTAAAGCAGGGGGCAAAGATTACAGTTAGCAACACAAACGCCACTGCAGCAATTCCAGTTGTTTCCAACTCAACAGAACTCAGCTTGCAAAACCTGGGTCCCTGGATGCTTGTGCAGCTCTCAGCACTCAGGTGATGGCTGGTCAATGTAAAAAGGCAGAGATGCCAAGTTGTACAAAGTCTATTGAAAAACTTCACTTAGCTAACGAGCTTTAGTAATTGTCACAGCAACTTGATGTGACAACTGTCTATTGCCCTGGATTTTCACCACCTGCCTGCTTTCACTTACCTCTACCAGCTTTAATACTATCAACCACGTGACTTGACTTGCTGGAAGTCAAACAGGAGACAAGAACTCACACTTCATTCAACTTCAGGTAATTTCCACGCTGCCTCAGTTACCTGATTGGGTGTGACCTGATGCAAAGCACTCCAATAAAACTGGGACTCCTCACAGAAAAGCTGGTCCATCTTCCTGCAGTATGCAAAGCCTTTAATAGCAAGGGAGCATGCAGAGGAAAGTTTAAATACTACTGAGAGGCACTGCTATTAAAACCACTGCTTACAGCACTTAAGGAAGGATGAGAAAATGCTTGTATTGCTATTCACACACTTGCTAGGATGATTTACATCCAAGCTTTGCAGTGAAACACTGACTTTCCACAGCTCATCTTACGACAGCTCTGGGTCAAGAGGATCGCACACGATTTCAGACCTGCCTCAAAAGAAAAGCAGAAGCATTTAATGGCAATTTCATAGGAGGTGCCACCAGGGACTGCTGGGATTCTGTTTTAATGCCTTTTCAGCACATGCTTGAAGGTGTTAAGGCTGCACAGCCATCAGTAGGTCAACGAGTCAGTTGTGGATGTCCTTATAGCTGCATCCTCTTATCTTAATGTACTCAGGACAAACAATGGGATTCAATAGCAGGTTAGTAAGCAAATAACTATTGAGTAAATAACTGCTTTCTGGCAACAGTTTAAAAATGCACTTTGTCCTGCTTCTCTTGTGTTTCTAAAGAGGCAACTGAAGGAAAAAACCGCAGACATAACTGTGGATTTTAGCTCACAGTTCCTTAAAGGAAAGCTCTTCCTTTCTTTTACAGCTA